TCCCAAATGAAAGTGTTGGGAAAGTGTCAGGAAAGGGACACCCCTTCAGTTGGGGTGTTGGGATCATGATTAAGAGGCCCTGATTTCACTCCTTTAGTTACACACAGAGTTTTAGACAGCAACTTTGTGAAGATCACGGCTTCAATCCCCGGGGATCGTCAGAGCCACTTGGGCTTTTGATTAGAGAGGACTCAGTGTGGGATGTGTCAATGGGACAGAGAGAGAGCAGAGGGGCTGTTTTTAGCAGTGTTGCTGTTTGGACTAGCAGGGAATGGATCCCTTGGCAGATCTACTGGAAAACCCCATAAAATAAAACCAAGGTCGGTGCAAAATATCAAATTATGTTGTAAGGACATGTAGAATATTTGGGTTCCTGCTAGGCATGAACAATCCTGGTGACTCCTCTCTCCAGTACAGAGGTTTCGACCTGCTCATTCCCACTTGCTATGGTTGGTAGCCAATTTTTTGTCTGACTTGGCTGTTAACCTTGGCCATGGTTGGGAGAGAAGGTGACAGGGAGGAACATCACAGTGCACTCGATTTACGATTGTCACGACAAAAGACAATCTAGAATATTTCCTGGTTTGTTCCCTCAATATTTTCAGCCTTTAACATTGCTGAAGAAAACTACTAGCACAGAGCTGTTTCAAGCTGTTCAATCTTTCATTGCAGGTAATAGTTTGACAAAATACACCGAGAAGTTGGAGGAGATCAAAAGAAGTGAGTATCTGTCAAGGCACAGAATTTAACTTGCACTGGGTTGTTCAAAAACTCAATGAGCATCGAATTGCAGGGTGGAATCCCAGGCCCTTCGTTTGCTTGGGAATCTCCGCTCTGTAACGATGCCTCCAGGTATTTGCAGGAATTAGAAGCTCATTGTGGTGGGATGTGAGTGTCCTGAACCATAGTTCTTGGGTGTTTACCTGTTTCTTTGTTGGGTATCTTCCATTTTCTCCTGTTCTCATTTCTCTGCGTTTTCTGGTGCTTCTTAACTTAATTAGGATGCCAGGCAGACAGGAATAGGAGTTTTTCTAGAACCTTCTTTGTACAAATGTTGTTATTGAATGGAAACCGGGTAAGGCAAAGACACATGGGCTAAGGATACTAAACTAGACTCACCTGCAGAAGTGAAACTGCTCTCCTAGGACTTTATTGTTGTTTCAGCTAATGGTAAGCTTGAATCTTTATATAAATAGAAACATTCCTGTGTAACTCATGGAGTTCACCGGAATAAATAACATTGATGCCTTTAACACGTTGGGTCGTTCACACTAATTACTGACACTATCCTTTTTTGCCAGTGAGAGAGAGAAAAAATATTAAATTCAAAGGCTGTGTGAGAGAGAGAGAAATATTCACAAATCATGAGGATGATTAGGATTTTGAATGTTCATTTTTGGCTCTTGCAACCCTTACTGTGGTTCCCTAACATGGTAATGTTCAGATTATAAAGGAAGTCATTTATCTCTCTTGCAAACTTGTGATTATCTTTGAGCAAAATGCTCCTTTGTTACTATTCTTCAACTATTGTGTCTCTTTGGATAAAATCAAGAGAAAAAATGACCTTGTTTTCCAAAATCCTCTGTTGATTGACGGAGATTTCAGTGCTTGACACCGGATTGCCATCGCTTTTTTATCTGCACTGAAAATCTTGTTGTGTTGGTCTGGTTGGTTTTAAATCTCTGCTGTGAATCTCGTTTCATTGTCCATAGGACTTCCCTTGTTCAGTCCTGGTTGGAGAGAGCTGTAGAAACTGCCTCATTATTTTGGGGCTGAATGGGCACCTTGTGTTCCCTGGCACTTTGGAAACTTCCCTGCCTCGATTTCTCATGGATAGACGACACCCTTTGGGCACGACTTTAAAAACCCACTACAGGCAACTCTCTGTCTCTCGTGTAACGTGAGAGAGTTGGAGCCAGCCCGGGGAGCCCAACGGGGAACCAGGAATGATAAAATAGCTGCAACTCCGAGGATTTGTCCTTTGGGGGCTGCCTCGAGCAGGGGCACCGCGTTTCGCCCCGTTCTTCGGTGCCGCTTCGCTCCCTGCCCGCGCGCAGAGAGGGACGTGCTGGAATTGCCATCCGAGGGCTCCCGGCCTCCGTGCCCCGAGTCTCCATGTCGGACAATCCGGACGGACCTTCCCGGATGGAGCTGGGTACGTGGGGTGGCTCCGGTGGTCGGAGGCAGCGCTTTGTGCAATGGGAAGCTGACCCAAGCCTTTAAAACGACTTGCTCTGGGGCAGGCTTAGCAACAGGGACAGTTCTCTGCACCAAGTGAAATAATTTTGGGTGGAAAAGCAGAGATCCAGGTCAGAAAGGCTTGTTCTGCAATAAATAACTGTGCTTGAAGAGGGTGGAAACCCCCTGCCATTTTGCTGCATAAGATGCTGAATTTGGGATTCCAGCTTGCTCGGAAATGCTGGAAATGAGGAGCTTGGGATTGCTGCTGGATTGGGAAGGGATTGCAGCCTCCACGGCTCGCCTGGCTCCTTCCCGATGGGAGCTGCAGAATTCCCCTAAGCTAATTTTATTGTAACTTGGGGGCTGTTTTTTATAGAGTCATGGATTGGAGCCCCTTCACCTCCTCCCCTTGCCCCATCTTCCTTCACTTTAAGCTCCAGAGCAGTCAACAGATGGTAGGATTTAGAATTACTTAATTGGCTGGATCTGATTAAGGTCCTGAAGTCCAGTATTAGCCTTCTTAGCCAGAGATCTGGAGAGCAACCAGCTTGGAATGTCCTCCAGCAGTTATTAAAACTTTTGGGAAAATGCAAAGGATTCTTCATGTTTAGGGGAGGAAAAAAAAAAGGCAAAAGTGTGACCTCAGAGGAAAAGGATTCTTCATATTTAGGGGAGGAAAAAAAAAAGGCAAAAGTGTGACCTTAGAGGAAGGGCCTGATGAAGGAGGAGGGAAAAATGGAGAAACAGAAGGAAAAAAAATTATATATATATATATAAGGAGATTTTTGCTTAATTTGCTTAATTAGAGGATGGCTTCCAACAGCTTAAAGAGGCACGTGCTGAATTTTGTTACAACTGCAGTGCCTTGCACTGGGAAAGGCTTGTTCATCTCCCACAAATTTCCCTGTTAGTGCAGCATTTAGTATTTTAATATTAAAATATCTCACGTATCCATGCGACGTCAGACGTCTCTCCTTGTCATCACTCACTCAACGCTAATCACTGCTTTGGGGTTTTTTTGCCAATTTTGGGCGTTTTCTGCCAATCCTTTGAACAGACTGCTCGTTTTTTTGCTGTCTAAGTCTCAAGCTTAATGTTCAGATAGCCCAGGCTGTCTGCAGAGATTGAGCTGGCACCCGTGCTGTTCTCCCAACGATGATAATGACTTGTAGGATTCCAAATTTAATTTCCAGGTAAAGCAAGAAAACCTGGAGGATTTAATCCGTGCTCTTTTCTATAATACCGCTGGGTAGTATTTAAGAAAAACACGGTCTGAGGTACAATATACTTACGCTCTGATTCTGCTGGAAATTACCCCAAAATCCCCATTGCCAGGGTTTTATCTTTTGATTTAAGAGACTTTGCAGCAGTGCTGGGCCTCAGAGACCAGTAGGTAAGGTGAGAGAAGGAAGCACAAACAAATACAGACCTTAGAAGCACCTAAATCCGTCTTCTCGTTTCAATCCTATGTGGGGGGCAAAGTATCTCCTTATATTCACTTGCTACTGGCAGAACTTGACAATTCTGTGACAAATGACACTGTCCCTTTCTGCTTTGTGCTTGAAGATTACAGATACAAGAAGGATGAGCTCTTCAAAAGACTGAAGGTGACGACTTTTGCCCAGCTGGTACGTACAGCTCTCTCCTCTCTGCTTTCTAAAGTCATCGTGTCTCTTATTCACAGCATTCGTGCTCTAAAACCTTATATGCACTTACATAGCCTTAATAGTATATGATTTTTATAAATGGATTCTTCTACAGCCTTTTTTATTCCTATTTTCTACCATAAAACCATATATCGTGTTTTCCATGGAACCCATGTTTTCAGAATAGCCAAATGCTTTTTAGCTAGAAGTTTGCAGCGATTCTGTGTGCCTCAAAACCCAGTCCTATCACTATTATTCACTTAAGAGGATCTTCAAGCCTCTTACCAGAGAAAAGGGCTGTGTAAAGCAATACTCGAATCAGATCTCGGGGAGCTTTGTGTCAGGTACCACTGCATGAAGCTCTTAGCAGCAGCAGGCAGGAAGGTTGTGACTTCAGAGCTTTTTGCACAATTTTTTTTATTTAAAGTAATGCACGATGAATCAAAATATTTAAAAAATGGAAATAGAGGTGTGTGTTGCTTGTGTGCTGGTTCAAGAAGATTAATAAAAACCAAACGAGAAAAAAAAAAAAAGAGAATCTTCCTTCGGGTGAGAAGAGAAGGAAAGACTAAGCTCACAAATATTAAAGGTAAAGTTCTGGTATTCATTTTGGCCAACACGGTACATCAGGGTTTTCTTTAATGGTTTAATGGCAGGTTGGGTTGTCTTTCTTTTTGCTACAACTTCCGTTCAGTAAAAAGACAGACCTGGCAGTGTGGCCTCACACGGACACCTAGGCTCGACCTTGAAGTCTAGTAGGGATCTCACTGAGTTAAATGTATTTTGGCATGAGGATATTTTTTCCTTAAGCTGATTCCTGCCTTTCATTGGCACCAGCGTATTCATCTCGAGGCATTGTTGTTTGCTTTTGTTTCGCACAGGCCATCCAGGTTGCTTCTCTATCTGATGAAACATTAGAAGTGACAAACGAGGAGATCCAGAAGCTGGAAGGTAACAATATTTGTTGTAAGCACAAAAACGAAGGAGCTGTAATTCGCTGTTGTATTTTGAACTGTGTCCTGGCAGACTTAGCTGGCTGCTCAGCAAGTCTTTGAATCAAAGATAAAAATAATTTAAGCTCTGGCCTGGCCTGCAGCCATTCCAGTTTGGGATGCATAAAAGCAGGAAGGTTTGCAAGGAAGATGCCTCAAAGAAAGGCCTGGTGCTGCATATTGCAGTCACTCAGTAGTGCATCAGAAGCAAACATGCTGCCACGTTTTGGGTGAGTTCTTAAAACCGAGATCTTGAGCTCTTAAAATCATTTGTCGCTTTCTTATTTTTAATACAAGACTCTCAGTGAGTCATTCTTATAAGAGGATAAAGATAAGGATGTCTCTGAGACCCACTTTCCTCCGAGAATAGAAACCAGGCTTAAAACTTACTTGTTGATTTTCCACAGCATTTGAACTCTTCATCCCCTGTTCTCTCCCCAGATGGTGATTCTGCCACCTCGGATGCAGATGCTGAACTCACAGCAGGGACCAACGGGAAAGGAAGCCCCCGGGAGGCACTGCTGAATCCTCTTCTGCTCATAAACGACTCGGGAGCCGGCGAGTCCTATCGATCCACACTGCAGAGGTGCCTCATCACAACACAAAATGTTCTTCCTGTCTTAACAAATAATTGCTTTTATGCTGCTTTTATACATTGTTCCTGGTGGCTTCTGTTGTATTCCTCATTAAAGTCCACGTTTGCAGGATTGGTGTATCCGGGAATCCACGTTATAAACTGCTTGGGTAAATTCAGTTATGTGCCTTCCTGATGGATTTAGGGGATTATCCAGTGATTGAGAATGAGAGTCCGATTTCCAAATCCAATCCATCACCAGTCAAGGTCAGAGATACCAAGGAGACACCATAAGAAGCAGCTTTATCCCAGTCCTGCCTTTGCTTTATCTGTGCAAGTGTTAACAGAACATTTTGAGTTGCCTGACATGCTTGGAGCTCATGTACCAAAACTATCAAATGAGCAAAGAATAAGAGTGCAGTGGCAGTAATGTAGTCACTTAGGACACTCATTAGAACATCTGGCCTTGATTGATCCAGAAGCATTTGTTGTGTTCACACAGTACTCTCTTCTACTACAGAGAGAATTATTATATAGATAAAAAAAACATTTCTTTGACGTACTTATTAATTTGGTTCCGTTAACAAATGCACAGAAAGGCTCTGTGTCCTGTGGTGTTGGAATATAAAAGAGCTATTGGAAAACAGAATATAAAATCCTAGGAAAGCCTCCCAAGGTGGTGAAGAGGTGCAGAAGGATTCGTGGAGTGAGAGCTTCCATCTTAACCACCCTTTTCCTCTTGCAGTGTTATCAGTGGCGTTGGGGAGCTGGATATAGAGAAGGACACACTGAAGAAAGCGGATCCCCAGGCTAAGGACGCGCCGTATCCCGACTGCCCCTTCCTGCTCCTGGACGTGCGGGACCGCGACGCCTACGAGCAGTGTCACATTGTGGGAGGTAGGACAGGGCCAGCACCCCCAGCGGCCGGTGTCACCTGGGCTCTCCTGCTCAAGCTCTCTCTGTTGGCTCTGACTGTCTTCGTTTTTCCTTTTCCATCAGCGTCTCACACAGAGACGCTCATTTCTCACCGATGGCCGGCACCACAACTCAAATTTAGAGAATTTTTGGAAAATTCCTCCCCCACAAGTAGCTGTTCTGATGTTTGTTCTCTGCCCTCATCAACCACTGATGCCCCTCCCTGGAGAGGGGACTGCGATGATGTTAATCCCTTTTCCAGCAGGTTTCCAAGTCTCTTCTTCTACAAACCAGTGCCAGCTGGATTCCTGGATTCTAGTTTGTGTGACAATGATGTTCAGCCACAATATGACTTTTCTCTCTTTTATTTTTTTTTCCTCTCTGCAGCTCATTCGTACCCTATCGCAACGCTCTCCAGAACCATGAATCCATACACCAATAGCATCCTGGAATATGTATCCTTTATAAAGTGCTGGGATTCAAGAGAACTGGGGAGAGACTCATGGGGGGAGCTCCCAAAAAGGAAAAACAAGAGCTGACAACCACTGTGACTGGGACAAACAAAATCCCAGGGTTTCGAGGAGGATGGGAAGGGAAATCCCTCGTGCCAGCACGGTTTCGTTGCCTCCTATCCTATTAGTTTGCCTCTTCTTTCTGAAAGATACTTGTAATTTAATTTTATAAGTCAAGTATGATCTTTAAATCTTCCACCTTCAGAAAAATGCCCATGGAAAAATTATTATTTTGTACGACGATGACGAGAGGCTGGCCAGCCAGGCGGCCACAACCATGTGCGAGAGGGGCTTTGAGAACTTGTTCATGTTATCCGGAGGTGAGTGGGAATGGGCTCTGGGATCTCTGGAGCTGGAGATGCAGCGAAAGACCTTGATGTTCAGCCCTGTTTCCTTTGTGACTGGTAAAATCCCCAGTCCCATCTTGGTGGTGGCTGATAACTTGTGCTCCGTGTGTCTGTAGGCCTCAAAGTCCTTGCACAGAAGATCCCCGAAGGGCTGGTCACAGGCTCGCTCCCGATATCCTGCCAGTCGGCAACTTCCTCTGGATCTGCCCGAAAAAAGGCCGCCCCCAAAGCGCCGCCCGCGCGTGCTGAGAATAAATGGAGATTTACTGCAGATGATCTACAGAAGATGAAGTATTACCTAGAAGAAGAGCAGATTCCTTCAGATACTGCCAGTAAGACTCCCTGGCTGTTGCTGCAGTTGCTTTCTGTAGCTCTTGAGGCTGCCTGGCAGCAACTCTTTGCTTTGCTGGGGCCTTTCCTCCCAGGATATTGCTGGGAGGAGGAGGGTTGCTTCAAAACCCATGGAGAAGCCGCACAAAACCTGCGCCCTAGTGATCCCACAGAGCTTGTACAGCTGCATGATAGAAAAACCTTGGGTCTGCTGCCCTCTAGCTTGAAAGGCCGTTGGGTTTTGCTGGTGGCTGGTAATTTTTTGGAGTTGTTCAGAACTTTTATTCCAGCAGAGCTGGACTGAGACTCTCAGGAGGCCTCCCCTGAGTGGGTGACGGTGCTGTGTGTTGAGTGGGAGCTGGAGAGGGGCAGCAGGTCGGGTGCTCCCTCATGGGCACAAGTGCATGGAGGTTCCCCATCTCTCTTTTTCCCCTCAGGCCGTCTAAGCCGTGGCTCTTCGGGGCGCGATTCCAAGGCGACAACGGCGAGGAGCAACCACAGCCTCCCCGGCACGACGGGCTCAGCCGCATCCCTCGCCGCCCGCTCGCTCAGCAGCAGCAGCCTCCAAAACCGGCCGTGGAAATAGGCAGCGGGGTCTCTTTCAGCCGAATAAACGAGTGTCCAGGTTCTGGGAAGCGTGAGCAGTGCGGCCCTTTTGTCGTTTTAGGAATCTGCAAGGAAAAGCAGCAGCGGTGCAAAAAAATGGCATCTGGGGGAGCTGGACTGGATGATGTTTCACAGGAGCTGGAGCAATTTGGCTCTGACAAGGGTCACCTGCACGGGCAGGGTCAGGACAGTGTTGGCAAAACCGGTTCCTGGGGGAGGGAGGAAGCTGCTAGTGAAGCCGGGCACCAGTAGAAACAGTTCTGTGAAACTCGTAGTTCAGACTTAACGAATTTGTGTCTGTAACGAATACGCCCTCGGTGCTGCGCCCAAAACTGCGCTGACGTGTGGGCACACGGGAAGGGGAATGGGCCCGGAATCACCCGGGAGCAAAACCCTCCGTGTCGGCTAGCAGCGACTCAGCAAATCGCCAAAATGATGGAAGATTCCATCGTTTTTTAAATATTATGTTTATGAAAGTATTTGTAATAAAGATATTTGGAGGGGGGAAATAATGCTCAGCGTAGCACTGTAACCTCACAGTGAACTTTACCTATGGACATTTGTGAAATAGTTCTGTGTTTTTAAAAGTGATAATGTGGTTTTTCCTCTCATCGTTTTCCGGACTGTTTGACTTATAATTGTGCTTTTCTGCTTCGATTCTTGCCGTGTTCACGGAGATAGCTCCTGTGTGGGGGTTTGGTTTCTGAAGAAGATGATGCTGTGACAAATCTGACGTGCTGAGGATTGTAGTTGACTTCTCCTGAGGTAGGAGCAGCTGCCCTAGTCCTCTTTGCTGTGTCCTCCCCAGTGCCTGGCAGAGGCTTGAGGGTTACTCCTGATTGTGCCTTTGCCAGGATTTTAGGGTTAGAGTCCCTGAAACCAAGCAGGGTTGTTGTAGCTCAGAGGGGCCTGGAGCTTTCGTTGAAAGCAAGGACAGCAGCTTACATCAAATCAGTGCCCCCAAATTCCATATGGGGAAATTCCCATGTGGAAATTGTCTGGCTGGCCTAGAGACCACCCAAAACGCCTGCTTCTCAGAGCTGATAACAACCAAAAAAGCCACAGGAGGGACGTGGAGGCCCCGCTCTCTCACCTATACCTACAATATAGAGCTCAGCCAGCTTTGTGCTTTTTCGTGTGTGTTTTTGGGGAGTTTGAGGGTTTTTGACATAGCCAAGTGTTAACCAGAGCTCAGTGTCCTGCTGGTGCAGGAGGAGCTCAAACTCGGTGGCACCTGATCCATGATTCAGCCTATGCCTTTCCCGGGCTGCTCGGCACTGCCCATGTGCCTGGAAAATGAGAGGGCTGCTCCGTGGAGCCCGACACGCGCAGGAGAGGTGGGAGCACCTGCTACGTACCGAAAATAGGGAACGTTACGGGGGGCATTTCCACTCCATGAGCACCTGCTCGCGCCTGCAACGGCACTTCCAGCCCTAAAGGGGATCCAGGTAAGAAGGGACACAAGCGGAGTGCTCACCAAGCCCTGGTTTTGCTGTCCTGCTGTTGGAGAGTGGATGAAATCCCTGGCTGCTCTACGCTCCACGAAACCTTCTGAAGCAAAGGGACAAACGAGTCTGAGCTCTTCAAGACCCTCAATCCTGGGCATCGAAGGGGAAGCACCATGGGCCTTCCTGCTCTCTGGATGAATGTGTGGATTTTTTGGCATCTTCTGCCTTGGTTGTGGTTGGAGGGGAAGGGAGCAGCTCTATTTAGTCTGGCACTTTGAATTGTTTGATTTAATAAAAAGCCAGTGACACCCTGCAGATGCCTCTTTTCAATGTGAGTTTTGGAGATGCAGCAGCAACCTTGGAGCAGCAGGAGCGGGGGCCAGGGAGGGAAGACCTTTGAGGGTGCTGCACCTTCGTGTCCCACCACCCAACCCCCTGGCAGAGCTTGGGTTGGAAGAAACCATGTTGGGGCCTCCCTTGCTCCAGGCAACGTGGGGGTGAGTTATGGGGCTCACGAGCCGTTAGAAACCCACAGCTTTCCCTGCCTTTCTGCTCCTTTTTCCAGAAGCTCTTGGCTTTCCTATAGCCCATATCCAAGGAGCAAGAGAAGGAGCCCTAGGAGAAAAGTGCTGCCACTTCCCACTGTGATCACCACGGCAGCAAAAAACCAGACGAGACCAAAGAGGGGAAGCCGAGGAAGACGTTTCTCCTCCACTTTTGCGTTTATTTAACGCGTTCTTCCCCACCTGCTCTTCAGTAGGGGTGGTCGCGCGCGTGCTGCATGATGACGCGCAGCGCCAGCCACGTCTCCTGCGCCGTGGGCAGGATCTGGCTGGCGGGCAGCAGGAAGCCGTAGCGGCCCGTGTCGCGCAGCTCGAAGGTGAAGGAGTACTTGATGCCCTGGTTGTAGGTCCAGTCGATGGTTCCTCCGCTCGCCTCGTCTAAACGCGACCGACAGAGGCGACGCGTTAGTGGCTCGGCGCTGTCCTCGTTTGATGGCACCCGTGGGGACGTGTCCCACTGTGCTGGGACCTTTCCCTCGGGGTGGGATTTTGGTTCATGCCAAAGCCAGCAGCGCTGGCATCTCCGTGGGGACACCCCCTGGTTACTCACAGATGGTCGTGATGATGCTGCCGTACTTGAACTTCGTCCCGTAGGCGGAAGACAGAGCCGCGACGGCCTTTTCAGCAACCTGGTGCTGCGGGGAAGACGCGAAAGGGACACGGGTCACGAGACCATCCCGTCTTGTGGGGGACACAAGAGCATCCCGTGGGCCTTGGCGTCCGCATGCAGTGGTGGCCACTCCAGCACATGCTGGTACTGACTGTCTGGGAGACATTTAACCCAAGGGGACAAGGCCACCCGCTCGGGAGGTGGCTGGGAGCCAACTCGCAGGAGAACAGGCCCCAGTGGCCTCCCGGCCTCCCGTGCCCCGCCTCCTCCTGGTGGGGGGCGGGGGTCGTCGTTTAGCCGTAGGGGTAGAGCAGGAGCTGCGAGTAGCTGTGGATGGAGATGAAGGCCTTGATGTTGCCGTGCTCCGTCACGAAGTCCACGATGGCCTTCACCTCGGGCTCCGAGTTGGCGTAGGGCCCACGGTACGTCTCCGAGCAGGGGTTCCCGCTGGAGCCCGACCCTGCCAGGGGAAGGGGACAGAGCGGGACATGGAGAAAGCTGCTTTGGTGGCCCAGCTCGGTGGTTCCGGGAGTTGCAGTGGCCGAGATGGGAGGCCCAAAGCCTCTCCCAGCCCGTGGCCGTGTGGTGGGGGACGCTCATGGGATGCTCTGCATTCGTGGGACAGTTGTCACTGCTGGTCCTCTCTGCGCTGAGCAATGGGGGACACCACGGTCCTGGTGGAGCCCAAACGCACGTCCCAGCTCCCCATGAAGCCCATTCCTTCCCCAGGGACGCAGCCGCTGCCCTGCCCCGCGTCCCAGTTGCGGTTGGGGTCAACGCCGACGCAGAGGGAACCCGAGCGCGTGGACCGGGTCTTCCGCCACAGCCGGTTCTGCGGGGACAGAGACATTCAGGGACGGGCATGAGCACCAGCCATGGGGGCTCCTGGCTCCCCGGCGCCTCCATCACCTTGGTGTGGGTGAAGACGAAACCATCGGGGTTGGTGACAATCTCCAGAAAAATGTCCATCTCCTCGAGGACGGAGGCCAAGACTTCATCGCTCTCGTGCTCCGCAGCGATCTGGAGGAACCGGCATGTGCGGGCAGCACCCGCCCCCGGCCGCTCACCCCATTGC